CCCTTGCACTTGGGAGGAGGTCCTCTATCAACAAACTTCTTCTGAGTACCGGGTTTTTTGAACAAGTCAAAGGGCTTATTCGCATTCAGCTTCTTGCCTTGCACCTTCCTGTTCTTCCAATAACCTGAGCCCGTTGCTTTATTGGAACTAGGTGCCTGGGCCTCAGACGACTTCTTGGTTTGGGACACCTTATACACTTCTTCCACCTTTCTACACTGGTTTACAAACCGACTGAACTCTCGGATGTCACAATTTGACATCTTCCGAGACATCTTCTCATTAAGACCCCATTGGAATTTGGAGGTCATTTCAGCTGGGGTGGGTAAGGCTCGCCCATAGTTGGCGTATTTCACCAACTCATTGAATTTTGAGAAGTATTGGTCAATAGACATCGACCCTTGTTTGAGATCGTTATACTCATTCTGCTTTTGTTCCCTAGCCTCTCTAGGGAAGTAGTTATCCAAGAACAATGTCTCGAATAACCGCCATGTGATCTCCCGACCTTCAGCTTCTAATGGCTGCACGGTATTTGTCCACCAATCTTCTGCTTCCTCTTCCAGCATATAAACAGAGTAAGCCAACTTCATTGCGTCAGGGCACCTCATCACCCTGAATATTTTCTCCATCGCTTGGAGCCATTTTGCAGCCGCCATTGGCTCATAACCTCCCTTAAAAGAAGGAGGTTTATGTTTCCGGAAAGCCACCAATCTTCTTTCCTCCATTTCATGATCACCGACATTTTCAACTTGAGGTTGACGAACCTCAGTGTGATGACTCCGACTTCCAGAGTGATGGCTACCCTCACCCTCATTGTTACCCACTCCACCCTCTTCCTGTGAAGGAGGTGGAGAAGGCGTAGCAGTGTGAGGAGGAGGAGTGGGTTGCCGGTTCACGGGCCTAGGACCCCTCAACGTCCTCAACTCGGTCATCATCGCGGCCATAGCAGTCCGCGAGTCTTCATTTGTCTTTAACAAATTTTCATTGGCTTGCCTGCTAGCAGCCAACTCTCTCTGAACGGCTGCAAGAGCTTCAGCCACGGGATCAGGCGGTACGCCCGTTGCCCCACGGCCACTTCTAGGCCTCACAAGAGCAGCCAAAACAGGTTCTGGCTGAGCATTGGTGTTTGATGGTCCGGGGTTGTTTCAGTTCCTCGTCATGTCACTACACATGTTACACAAAGAAGTGAGTTGATCAGGCCCACACTTAGTGATCACAAATGCAATAATCATACAGAGTACTAAAACAACTATAAAGCATCAAACGCTAAGCATACTCAACAATAGCTAACAGTTATTCCCAACGAAACTGCTCTGATACCATAAAATGTAACACCCCGTTCTAGAACCGGTTTGTTAACATCGCATTATGATATTAAGCGCAGTTACAATCACATGGGTTCAATTAAAATCCGGATAAATTTTTCATTTTAAAACGTATCGAACTTATAATACCCATTTTCGTGATCATAACCATATTACCTTGCGAAAACAGATAAATTAAGCTTAACATCATGTTCACAACTTCTACTATATTGTAGGTTTCTTCATTAGCTATGCGTGGCTTCAAACCGCGCTCAAATCGGAGCACTGTAGCCCAAGTTAGGACAATTTGAAGCAACACAAGAGAGTATTGGTCACAGGCCCCGCGCGCTTCAGCGCGCTACCGGGCGCTCAAGCGCGCTCTAGCGGGCGCTAAAGCCTCCATCTGGGCGCTTAAGCGCACGGAGGCAGTAAGCATCAGGCATTCCAGTGTGGATGGGCGCTTAAGCGCGCAACAGGGCGCTCAGGCGCGCTATCCTGGGCGCTCAAGCTCCCACGAGGACGTTTTAGCGCGCAGAGACAGAAGCATCTCCTCCTTCAGTGGCGAAGGGCGCTCAAGCGCGCAACCCTGGGCGCTTAAGCCCCACCCTGGGCGCTAAAACACGAGGGGGCAGTAAGCCACCCAACTTTCTGCAGCAAAGGGCGCTTAAGCGCACGCCAGGGCGCTCCAGCGCGCACGCCTGGGCGCTTAAGCCCCCACTTGGGCGCTCCAGCGCAAGGAGGCAGAATGCATTGGCACTCGCAGGGGCAGCAGGGCGCTTGGGCGCGCTCCTGGGCGCTTAAGCGCGCTGCCAGGGAATTCCAATTCCCACATTTCTCAAGTCCAAGCCTAGGGGAAAATGCATCCCCATTACAAACCCCAATTGTCCATGCCCCAAAACTAAATCCTAGCACTCATCCAACCTCTCCTCATGAGATTTAGCTAGAATTTGGGCAGCATGACCTTTGTTTTCTCATTGTTTACCAATTTAAACAAAAGGGTACCTAATTGATTTTCAGCCCAACCAATTCAACAACTCAATACATAACAAGCATGCATATATTGAATTTCAAGTAGGCATCATTTACATTACATATCCTTTACAAATCATAGAACTTAGCTTACAAAACACTATGATCATTCCCTTGGCTCCCATCAACAAAAGGTGTAACCAAAGGCATGAGCATAGGCTAAGTTCATCCAATGAATCAAGATATACAAATGACCATGGGCTTTCAAAATAAAATCCTATACATGTCAACTACAAAAGGCATGCATAAACTCAAAGAAATGTCATATTTCATGCATAATCCAGATATGGCCACTTGCCACCAGAGGCTCCTGCAGCATCCTTACCTGAAAGGGGGTCCCCACAACACGGGGTGAGATATACGAATATATCCAGTAAACCAGGGGTCCTTGGAGCATCTCTCCACCCCACAGTTCCATATCAGTGTAATAGCAATAACAATAATAATGCAGTAAATACATATCTATGCAAAGTGCACTACATCTCCAGGAGAAATCCCTCGAGCTCTCAAGCTGTCCTAAGGAAACTCAGATGCAAATAGTCCTACTGGCCAGCTAACTACCAAGTATGATTTACGCATCGTCATGCAACATACCACATAGGGAAACACCATCCTATGCCACACCAAATGCATACACATACGTATAACAAAGCATTACACTATTTCATTGCATTTATATACACTATAATCACCACTACCCTTTCAGGGCTTGGTGGAACAATCAAGGGAATTACACCCAAGGTCCGAAGGCTTACCTCAATGCTTCAGTCGACCTTTGTTCTTCACCAATGTCAACAATACTCTACTCCAAAACCAACACCTACACATGGTGTAATGCAATCAACACATTGCATCCAAGAGTATTTCACAATCAACCATCAAATACTCAATTCAAAACACCACACAAGTGTGAGCTTACCAATTCCACTGAGCTACTCAAGCTCCATAGCTTGTTCAAGCGGTTGATCACTCACGGTCGGTCCAAATGTCTCAATCCTAGACATCATTAGGACACAATCATCAATCAACCAAGCCATACCATTTATCAACAATGCAAGAAATCCAATATCAAGCATCATATTCTTGCCATTTTACAAGTATACTCATTTAGCTATCTAAGCTCATTTTCACCGATTAAATGACATTCCTAGCATTTTCCATAACATGCTCTAAGCTCCATTCTTCCTAGAACATAGCTAATTTAACAACATTCATCAAAATCCCTAAAACACTATTCATAAACCCTAACTCATGCAATTTTCAAGGAATCATGAGGTTCAAGGGTTAGAATCTTACCACCAATGGTCACACAACCAAGGATTGATGGCTCCTCAAGCTCCCATGGAGGTAGAAACTCTCAAAACCCCAATTTTCACCAAATGGCCGAATTTTTGAGAGCCAACATCTCACCACACAAAGCTCCCCACTTAAAACTAAGCTTGGATTATGAAAGAGGGCGAGATTCTAAGCGATTTAGGCTTTTGAATCACCCAAAACCGTTGGGATTTGCTCCCTCCTCTCTCTCTTCTTCTCTCTCCCTTTCTCCTCCTTCTCCTTCTTCTTCCTTTCTTCTCTGTTTGTGTCGACGGGAAAGTGGGGGTTTGGGGTTCATCTTTTGGCTTTTAGTCACTTAACATTGGTTAAGTGGCTTTAAGCGGGTGTTGGTTCATCTATCTATTCAACTCCAATAATTACCAAACTTTAACCAAAAGTCTGGAATATTATTCTAGGAATATTACTATTTTTATTTTTATATTTGGGTACTTTTGCCAGTACTCATTTATACCCCTTAATTTTCACTGAGTACACTTTTTAACTTCAAAGTGACTCAGATTCATTTAATTAAGCCTTATACTTAATTTCACTCACTAAAACATGTTTAATTAATTAATTACACTAGATTTACTAATTAATTAAGTTGGGCTATTATAGAGAACATGAAGGTAATCTTGCTCATCATTAAACTTAAGAAGCAAGTGTCCATTATCTAGGTCAGTGAATTCATACGTGCCAACTAGAGCCCAGAGTCTCTGCAGCCTGGCCATTAACATTTTCTTTCCCACGAGCTTAATGATGAGGGCATTGCACCATTTCTTACCGTCTTCGTGGTGTTTCTTTATAGAGAAAGTGTAAGTTGGGCACAGGGGGTCATCTTCCTCACCACTTCCAACCTCATCAGGTCCGTCCACATCTTCTCCTTCCCGTCTTTGGGTCGCTACCCAGTCCTCCTCACTCATCATTGTCGTGACCGATGCTCTCTCCATTCAAGCACAAAACCTTATCCAGATAGGATACCAGTTTCCTACCCTTCCCAGCACACTCCCCTTTGTTACTATTACAAGCATCGAGGTTATTCACGGCAGCTGCTACGTCCACAAAGGACTCATCTTCTCCAAACCTTCAGCCATGTTGGCATATACAAGAACAACCGTGCCCTTAGGATTCTTAGCACTTCTAGCTCCAGCGTCCTCTTCCTCTCCTCCCAAACTTCTCTCTAAAACTCTCTCTGGTTGGCCTCTCTCCATTGGAAATTTAGTATGCATCCTGGAGAGCGGTCTTTTACTAACTCTTCTCTCTTTCGGCACTCCCATTGACTTGGGAAAGATTACTACTTCCTTTTTTGAGTCTTGCTTTTCAAAACCACTTTGGATTAATGCTCATTATTTTAAATTCTAAACTTATGTAAAACGTACTTATACAATAACGTAGAATACATTTATTAGGATGTTGCAGATATTCGCTTATTTATGTATATTACAGTGAACCCTTTGACATACATTTTATATACTCTATAATACATCTGTAGGCATCTCCAAGTTCACTCATTACAAAGGAAAGAAGCAAACATCCTTAATATTCTTTATGAAGTTCACGCTAATTATTTAGAACATCCTTAATATTTTTTCCCCCTCACAACTCTTGGTGCTATGCCTTGAGAAGATGAGCATCAATATCTTTGGTAACCTTGGTTACATAATCCATATAGCCATAAGGAGGTTCAACACTATCATTGATCTTCTCATATTCAAAAGTCCATTTAACAAAAGCACTACCATCAGCCTTATCAATAACTTGAAAGATGAGCTCGCAGATCTTGAACTGCTGACTTACATAGCCATCAAAAAGTTTGTATGTGATTATCATGTTCCTTTCGTCAATGGCTTCAATGCTATCCTTGGATGTTACAACCTTTCCATCTGTCATTTCAGAAGTAATAATTAAGATCAAGAACAACAAAAGATTAACCAATCCTTTTGCTATTTACAACAATAATTAATATAAATAGAAGCTTAATCACCTATGACGTAAGTCCATTGCCTAACTGAACCAATGTCGTGCGAGTCCCCTTCATGCAAGTTGGTTTGATGCACTCTTTCAGTAACGTTTTGAATATGGTGAATTTGCTTCAAGACGAGGTTGAAGAACTTTGCAGCAGGTGTTCGGATTCCAAGTTCCGTACTCACTTTACCACTAAGACTAGCCATGTCTCTGGAAACAAAACAAACAATATGGGGTAGAGACGGATGACAAGTGTGGATGGATATTCAGGATAGTTTGACCTTATATAGAAAATAGCTTACCCACTGTTGCTAACAAAATGATTTAACAAAATATCTTAGATATTTTAGAAAACTAACTATTAGTTTTTAAGATTTTTATTAAAAGTAATCATTAGGGGGTGTTTGGTAGAGCAATTTTTTTTTACCAGAGAAATACAATTACTAGGAATATGGTGGAAAATTGAGTTTGGTAGGTGTAACACCCCGTATATATATCCGGCAATGTTATCATACTATCGTATTAAGCAGCGCTTAATAAAAATGCGGAATATCTTTTTCTTTTTAATTATGATGTCATTATGATAGCCATATCTCTCTGAAAACAAACAAACAATATATATGAAGTAGAGACGGATGAGAAATGTGGATGGATATTCAGCTTAGTTTGACCTTATATATATAGAAAATAGCTTAGCCACTATTGCCAACAAAATTATTGAATCATCACATACTCAATAGTCACTCCGTAAATTTTGCTTCCTAGTCAAATATGAATTATAAGAAGTTCTTGGTTATCATTTTTCAACATGTTTGTCATAATAATGGTTAAGTAAAGTCATATTCAAATGAACGATTGTAAAATTTGAATCCCTAACACTGCAAATAATATTCGTCCGAAGTTGCAATTTATTTCTACTGAAACCAACCACTTATGGGATGTTTGTCATAATCTAAATAATTAGGATTAGATTGAATGAAAATAATATTTTCTTATTTTTAAAATTTTGTGATTGTCTTGACATATTCAATGTGAATTATAAAAATAATTATTTGGCAAATTACGAGATTAAAACTTTCCATACTGTATATAATCTCTTTTATGCTGATGTATGCGTATGACTATTAAGGTAATCTATTATTTACTTGATTTGTTTAATTATTATATATAATTTGCTTAGAAATTGCAGTTATCCAAACACTTATTAGTGTAAGATTAATTTAATTTGCTCATAATTATTCTTTTCTTTTATTTATCCTTCTGAGTTTTCTTTTCGTTGGTAATATTTTGCTTAATTTTGTTATTAATTTTTTCTTCGGTTATTTGCTTTTGATATTAAAAATAAAAATTGCAAGTTGATATTCAATCCCACGGCCACCAGAGATTTTTGGGAGTTGATTTTTGGAGGGGAAGGAAGGGGAGGGGAGGATTTTACTAATCCCTTTTCTTATTTGTGAGTTTAAAAAAATGGAGGAAGAGAATTAAGGATTTTTGCAAAATCCTCCAAAATCCTTCTCTCCCTTAAATTAAAGTTCCCTAATTTGGGGGGTTTAAGGGAAAAAATATTAAAAATTACTTATCTATCTTAGCATTAAAATGTAAAAACTACGTAAATATGAATCACATTTAAAAGTGACATTATTATAAAAGTATCAAATATTAATAGAATTTATCGACGAAAAATATTTCGTCGAAAATAGTGATGAAATTTTTGACAAAAATCACATTACGTCGAAAATAGAGACGAAACAATATTTGGCCATAATCACTCACATAATTTTTTTCGGAAAAAAATACAGTTGAAATTCTTGATAGAATCTAAATTCCATTGAAACTTTCAACAGAAACATTTCCGTCGAAATTTTTTGACAGAAATCAATTACGTAAAAAAATTTGTCAAAAAAGTCAAATTTTTTTACGGAAAACATTTCCATCAAAATTTTCTCAACGGAACACATTTCCAGTGAAAATTTTCGGCGAAAAAATATTTTTGTAAAAAATTCTGATAGAAAACTTTTTTCTTTTGTCAAAATTCTTTACAGAATCTAAACTCTGTCAAAATATTTGACAAAAAAACATATTCATGGAAATTTTTGACGAAGAATATTTCCCTCTAAATTTTTAACGAAACACATTTCCATTAAAAAAATTTCGTAACAAGTTTTGTAAAAAATTTTGACAAAAAAAAATTGTCAAAATTCTTTACAGAATTCATATTCCGTCAAAAGTTTTCGTCGAAAACATTTTCGTCATACTTTTTGAAGAAAAAAAATTTTGTCGAAATTTTCGACAAAACACATTTTCATCGAAATTTTTTAACGGAACACATTTTCGTCAAAAAATTTTAACGAAAATTATTTTCACAACAAAGTTCGACGGAAATTATTTTCGTCAAAAAATTCGACGGAAAACATTTATGTAAAAATTTCGACAAAAAAAATATTCTGTCAAAATTCCTCATAGAATCTAAATTCCGTCGAAAGTTTTACAGAAACATTTCCCTCGAAATTTTTGAAAAAAATATTTCCGTTGAAATTTCATTGAGACACATTTTCATCGAAGATTTTGGACGGAAAATTTTTCGTCAAAATTTTTGAAGGAATTCTTTTTTTCTTCAAAACTTTTGAGAGAATTTTTTCGTCGAAAATATTTAACAAATCATTTTTGTCAAAATTTTTGACGAAAACTAAATTTTGTCAAAAAATTTGACTGAAAAATTTATTTTTGTAAAATAATTCATCGAATAAAAATTCCATCGCCTTCGATGAAAAGTCTTACGATGGAAAAATATTTTTTTTTTGATAGAATTTTTGTCGTTTTCAACATAGAATTTTCGTTGAATATATGATCTTTTTAGTAGTGTGAAAAATACATAAATAATTTTGTTTAGCAATTTAAATTTAATTTTATTTGTAAAATATAATAATTATATTAATTTTAGAAAATGATAAAATTGTAAAAATATCTCATTGAGCCTCCAATTTCTCCCTTACTGTTTTTTTTAACTCCTAACAAGTGAAGATAATTTCCTCCAATTTCCTCCCCTTCCTTTTCCTCCCTCCCTTTTAATCCCCTTCAGTCTAAGGAACCGAGAACAGTCAAAGTTGGTAAATTTGTTTTATTAAAATGCTCATATTCAAGGTAACCCTCGAGAATCGAGGGGATCACGAATCTTTTAAACTTGTGTTTCTTTCTTTTGGATTTCGTTGAGGATGAAGATATGGTCACTTAATTAAAGGATAAGTGTTCATAGAGGCATTTCGTATATAATTAATCTCATTTTTTTTGCCGTCTCCATCCAATGCGTTTCACGTTTAGTTTTCCTTTTTGTTTGTGTGTTTCGTATAGTTGATGGGTTCAACAACTCTACCTGTAGCGAGATTCCGAGCAATGTACGACAAAACAAAATCTTTATTTGATATATCAATTCATAAAAATTGATCTATTGATTAGACATCAAAACACAGCAAATTTAAAAATTTTCAATTGGTATTATGATATGAAAAACAGTGCTGGACCAAATATTCGCTGACCTAATATGGATAAGACGATTTCGTGGTTTACGATCTTTCATATTTTCTTACTTGGAAAGACCTTTCTTTTGGATCTCGTTGTGGATGAAAATATGGTCACTTGATTAAAGAATAAGTGCTCTTAGGCGTTTCTATATATCTAATCTAATTTCTTATGTTGACTATATCCAATGTGTTTTTCACGTTAAATTTTCTTGTTGTTTTGTGGTTTCGTGTCCGTTGATATGTTCAACGACTCCTCCTCTTATGGAGAAAATTTTCAGTGGTTAGCACCACTAATAATTGGGTGGTCCCTTTAGAAAATTTAAAATTAATCTAATTAATGATTAATATAAGGGGATGATATATTTACCACCAAAAAAGTTTACTACCTTTACAACCAAGTTAATCACCGTTGATTTAAGTCAATCTATCAGGATCGCATTTATTAATTAATTATTAAATCCAATAAATTATAACTGTTAGATTGACGGAAATCAATGGTGATTAAGTTAGTTGTAAATGTGGTAAATTTTTTTGGTGGTAAGTATATCGTGTCCCTTAATATTACAAATAATTGAAATTTTCAATTGGCATTATAATATGAAAAACAGCAGTGTTGTACGAAATATTCACTGACCTAATATTGATAAATGGTAAGACAATATTTTTCGTGCTGACCTATTATTTTTTATAACTTTTTTCAAGACCATTAATTGCTTTACCGCTTCTACAACTAAGAGATTTTTAAGTATTTGCGCAAACACTTGATTATGCAATTTTTAGGGAATGCATCCTCCAATATTTTATTTAACATAACATAGTCATATTAGGGAATTATAATTAGTTAATCATACAAAGATGAATTAATGATGATAAAGAAAATAAGAGAATAAATATATTGAAATAGGTAGTTATAAAGTTATTATAGTTGATTCACCTTTACATGATTACAATTTTCTCGTATGATCATGTCATATTAAAAAAATATGATATGTTTATTAAAAAAAAATAAAAAATGAGAGGATTCATTTTGATTTTTAAGTATTTTGGTTATAAAATTTTTTATGCAAATAAATATTTTCTTAGCATAATAAGTCTCAGAATTGTAACGAAGGTTTAGTGCGGTCATAAAACAAATTATTTTATGGGAAAAATGTTTCTGCAGTTAATGCAGATAAGTTATCTGCATTTATTTCCAAAACGATTTATTTCTCGTTTTTGTATTGAAATCTTAAAAAATTATAAATATAAAGACTATTATAACCCTGAAATAAATTAAAATTACAAAAATACCATGATTTCCGCTCCAAAAGGACGCCGTATTGGGCTTACTACAAATAACTTATCTGCAGTAACTGCAGAAAAACTAAACCCTTATTTAATTAAACAAAAAAAATTTCCAAATTCTAAAACAAACACCTCTTCATCGCTTATGCATGATCTCAATCAAAAAATGTAATTATATATATATATATATATATATATATATATATATATATATATATATATATATATATAGGGTCAGGATCATTTTACACCAGTGTAAGTTACATTCTCAATCTTGACCATTGATCTCACTTATATCTAAGGGCTCAAATTTTTTGGTAATGTGAGCCATTGGATACAAGTGGATCAATGGTCAAGATTGAGTGTAAGAGTTAACTCTTACACTGGTGTAAAAATATCCTGCCTTATATATATATATATATATATATATATATATATATATA